AAATGTCATCATATCTGCCTTCAGCAACTGTCACACACAGGCTGCATTCTCCTGTACCTGCAGTGAAGGGAGAAGAGGCAGTGGGTTTTTTTTTTTTGAATAAACTTTTTATTTCAGTTTTGTCATAACAAATACAAACAATAACATGTAATAAAAAAGAGGCAGTGGGTATGACACAACATCAGATCCAAGCCCAAACAAGAGGGTCGGTGAGTCGTCTCCAGCATCTCCCACAGAAGATTTCTGAATGTTTGGAGAACAGATGACTTGTATGTCCCAGTCTCTTGAGACAGAAGTTATTACCTTGGAGCACAAATGGAAAGATAAGATACCAAATCACCTCTACAGAATCTCCCAGGATTATTGCATTCCCAGTGTTGGGGAGCCTTGAGGACCTCATGCAGGAATTGTGGCAAAGCCTGCATCTCTCCAGCCTACTTTAAGAAGAGTAGAATGTTTTAATAAGATCAAAAGAGAGCCATCTAACTACCTGATGGCTCACCCTCCACCATCTTCCATGGAGGAGATGCAGCCAATGGGCCACTAGGCCTACCACTCCACTCCCACAGATAGAGAGGGGGGAAAGCTGGATGTCCTGGGTCAGCAACTATATTCCTAAGCAGCGTTAAGTTGCAAAATCTCTAACTACAAAACCATTATGGCTGGTTATCAGCTCTTCTTATGAGAGAAGAGTCTTCCTTTCTTGGAACTGCCATCTGAAGATAAGCGTCCCTTCGCTAAGGCTCTGTGTACCGAGGCCATTAAACTGGTGAAGCAGTAGATTGATGTGGGATGGCATTCTGCGGATTTGGCTGTACGGGCCATGGCAAGCTCCATCATGCTCAGATGCCACATGTGGTTAAGATCGGTGGTGTTACCTATGGAGACTAGGCTTAAAGTTGAGGACTTTCCTTCCAAAGGTTCCACTCTCTTCTCTGCCAAGGCAGACAGGGTGCTTTCCCTGACAAAGAAAAAAATGACAGACATCTAAGTCCCTGGGAGTGTCACAGTCATCCGTGTCCCAATTTAAGCAGAGGCCTTTTGTGAGACAGTCCTGACATCCATATCAAAGGGACTATTGATATGGCTCCTCGGGATCTCAGTATCATATCCCCTAAGCCATTTATGCCACAACAGGGTTACCATAGGCGTAAGGGTTTCTACCAATCTAGTTGAACCAACAAGCACCCTCTTCTAGAGAGGTGACCTCATCCCCAAAATCATCCTTTTGACTAGGATCGTTGTCAAATATTCTTTTACGTGTACAATTGATTACTGGTGGTGGATTCCAAGGACTGATTGTTGAGTCATTGTACTCTTGTCCTGGAAACTTGTCAAAAGTTAGGGCTTCTTGTGAACTGGGATAAGTCATGATTAGTCCCATCCCAGAGGGTACAACTTATCGGAGCCATGCTGGATTACCTAATGAGAAAATATTTTCTACTTCTGGGTAGGGTACGTGATCTGGTCCATGGGGTCGCGAAGAGTCAGACTCGACTGTGCGACTGAACAACAACAAAAGGGTACAGGACATCTTTGCTTGGCTAAGACAGTTCAGATCTCACTTGTTCCAATCGGTTCAGAAAATTCCACACCTTTTGGGATCTATGACCTCTACTATGCCAGTTCTGGCTTTGGCTAGGTTACAGATGTGACCCCTGCAGCTCTCGTTCCTATCTTTTTATAGAGCTGGTGTTCATGCCCTATGGCATAGATTTTCTATTCCCAGGCTTGTTCTTTGTTCTTTGTTGTGGTGGTGTTCTCTGGAAAGTTTATCCTGGGGGATTTTCTTTGAGGTTCCTGAATATGAGGTTGTCCTTACTATGGACGCTTCCCTCTTGGGTTGGGCACCCACTGTGAAGGATTGTTGGCTCAAGGTACTGAGTTAGAGAATGAGAAGCAGCTGCACATTAATATATTAGAATTGCGAGTATTGTGTTATGCCCTTAGTTGTTTCTCAGTTATCCTTTGGAGCCAATGCATCCTTGTCTAAATGGACAATACAGTTATGATGTTTTATTTAAACAAGCAAGGGAGCACAGGGTCCAGAGGTCTATGTCAGAAGGCTACCCTAGCATGGGGCATGGCACTGAAGCTCAATGCTTCGATTCAAGCCATCCACACCCCTGGGAGTTTAAACACGGAAGCTGACAGGTTGAGCAGGGTCGGCATACTCTATCGCAAATGGTCCATAAAGGCCACTTACCTGGAACTGA